AACTACCAAAAGGTCAGAAGAGAAGAAAAGAAAAGGTCAGATTTTAAAAATTAGATTAAAATGACAATTTTTATATTTGTTGTTAATTATTGTGACTATAAATAATCGTTATAATTGTTGATTGATTCAGTATACAGTAGGGTAAATGATGTCAGGTAAATTTTTTTTTTTTTGATATCGTAATTTTGTGAAGAATTAAAAGCAGCTTCAACATATAAATCAAATAGTTTATTTCATCGTCATAAACTTACTTATACAATCCTATCATATGGAATATTTCCATATATTTTTTTAAGTGAAGACAAAAAAGAAAACAAAAAAAAAAATTTTTTTTTAAAAAAAAAAATTCTTTTAACAAATAGAAGAAGAAAGACAAAAAGAAAAAATTAGTAACAGTTTAAAAAAAAAAAAAAAAACAATCGCATAGTTTGTTTTCAATGAGAAGTAATTTAACAATTCATAACAAATTATATATTTCATTTCTTTATTGCTTGTAGAAAATTTTATATCCCAAAAATATTCGAATTAATGATAAAGTACAGTTAACAGTAATGATAGTATATGATAAAGAAATAAATGGGAGAGAAAAAAAAGGATGAAAAAATATTAAAGATAAGAAAATGAAGAATTGAAAGTAAACAACAGCATGATTGGAATAATTTTTGAGGCAGATAAAATATTCAAAGTTAAACGGAAATGATTGGATGATTAGATGATATGAAATAACAATAATATTAGTGATAATAATAATAATAATAATAAATAATAATAATGATAGTGATAATGATAATGATAATAATAGTGGGTAATTGTTATAGTATCTATGAAAAAAAAAAAATTGTATTTGTTTATAAAATATTCCAATAAAGAAACAAAAATTTTGCAATTGAACTATGATAAAAATGATAAGAGAATTTGGGCAAAGAAAAAAGTGAAAAAAAAAAAGAGAAAACAGGAAGATGTTTTTTTTACAGATATGATAAAAGATTATTTCCTATATATGAAAGACTTGTTCGTTTATTTTACTTTTTCTTTTTCTTTCTTTCTTTTTTTTTTTTTTTTTTTATCACTGAACATGAAAATGATTATTGTTATTGTTTTGGAATGAATGAATAAAGTCATGGTACAGAATGATACAGTATAATTACTGTAGCAAATTACAGTACTTCAATGTGTTTAGATATTTTCTAAACAAATTTGAATTATTGAATTAAAATAAAACCAAAATGAATAATAGAAAAAAAAGAAACGAATAAAGGGAAAATGATTTTTTTTTAAAAAAAAAGAAAATCACAATATTTTTCCAATCATTGTAAAAGAGAGAGAGAGAGAGAGAGAGAGGAGGAGAGAGAGGAGGAGAAGAAGAGNGAG